GGGGTTTTTCGTGAAAGGTGGGCGTCCCGCTGTCCAAATGAAATTTGACATATGATTTTTTTGTACGAAAATCGTACGATTTTTTCGTTCAATCGTTGTAAAATCGTTCAAAATCGTTGACATTTTCCTATTAGGGGATGCCGAAACCAAAATGCTTAATGTGGAGATATCAGCCTTCGGTTTGATTATAAATACACAATCCAGTTGTCTAAGCTAGATTTGATGACAGTTTAATTAATGTTAGTATCATCCATACTATAAATATGTCGCGTGCGGCCAAAATTCTAGATAGATGGAAAATCATATAACGGTTATCATAATTCCGCGTCAAAGGTTCATCACACAAAAGCTTTTCCGGCACGCATACAGAAGATAAAAGGTAGAATAGCCAGAAATTAAGGTGATTTTAAGCGAGATGCACCGGCAATATTCTGAAAAGGACTGCATATACGAAAGACAGCATGAAACCGGAGACGACGGTGTGAAACCCCAACGATAACCGCCGTCTACACGAGTACACAAAGCAGCCAATCGAGACCGGCAAAGAATAGCACATCAAAAAAAAACATGACGGACATTAGAAGGAGAGATAGAAGTTTTCAAATCCAAAAGGAGACAGAATAAGGCGGTTGAAATTTGGCGGCAAATGATAACAGGTACCAAACGGAAAACCACAACACAAAAAGAAAGCAAACCATTTTATAAAAGTGGTTACCTTGTTCTCCGTTAGGATAAGGGCCTTTAACCTCAAAAGCAGTGGAAAACCATCCAACTTGCGTATTTCATTGTCAGTAAAGTCCAAAGTGTCAAACTGGTCGAGAGTGCTACCCAGATTCTCAATTGCCGGAACTTTATAACCCCGCAAATCTAATTCACGATCCTTTAAAGGATTTGTGTGCTGCATAGCACCCTCAACAAGATCTGTCGTTAACTTCACCATGATTTTTGCAGTTGGAATGCTCCGCGGGAAAAGTAGTGTATTAGAAGGCTTGTGGCCACTTTCCGTTCTGCACAAATTTTCGATTCAAGTTACTGAAGATTTGACTGTTTCAAATATCGGACGAAGTACGTTTCATTTTAGGTAAATTCTTACGATACCAGAAGTCAAACAGGGCCTTATGTGATCTTTTACCCATATCTTAATAGGAATTTAGGGTCAGGTAGACTGTCAAAGAGGGAAAAAGTTTAGTGAACTAAATAAGAAAAAGTGATCGCTGGTACAAGATTGTTATCCGATTGGCGTTTGGAAATACGTCGCGGATCCTTCATCAGGGCCAGAGACAACAGCAAAAACGTGCTATTCTTGCATATGTAATACTACAGACTCACAAAGTCTTGCTTATGAAACTTGAAAAGGCACACAATGACGCTCGGAGTCCACTCAAAAGTGCACATCTCGTGATGCTATTCAAGTTTCAGCA